GCCTGGTATGAATTTGACTTCGGATACAGGCGACCCGGTGAAACTCGTCTCGCTCGTCGGCATCAGAGGAGTCAGCAAGCCATCGAGACGTGAGTCGGTACGCGTGAAGCGTGTGTTGCTCAAGATCTGTGTCATCGATGGGAGCGGGGTAGTCATTGGAGAGGATATCGAGTTTGAATGCGTTTGTCCAGATGATGTGTAATCTTGTGAGCGCGTTGAACCGTTTGCATGTCTGTCATTATTAGCAGCTAGGATCATTGGGTCGGGAAATACTCACTTGTCGGAGGAGGATGATGTCAGGAACGGGAAGAAACGCGATAACTGTAGATCAGGACATCATCAGGTAAGTTGTATGGTGCGTCGTTCATGGACGTTGCAGTCCAAGGTAACTGTGCGGTTACGGGCCGAATAAACCAGTGACTAAGCCATTCCCACCACTTGCCTACGGCATTTCCGGAAATTCCGATTTCTTCCTGCTACACCCACCGAGGAAAGAACCAATGGTCGGTACTGCAATAGTCGCACCGCGGAGACCGATGTTGTGCACGACTCGCCCTTGCTTCACTCTTTTGAAAAAAGAACAGCGACATCATAGGTGCCCAGCCCATGTTCGTACTAAACGATTACCAGCCCTTTCTCACAGCTTTCCAAACAACAGATTCATGCTTGACCGCGCACGCAGATAAGATCTTCCTATTTTATTTAGATGAGAAAATAAACAATGTGGCTTCCGTGGCTCGCAGCATAAAAAGCTTCTTATGCGAGCTCAAACCGTGGCAAGAGAACTTACCACTAAGTACCTCAATAGCTCCTATGGTACGAGAACTCAATTAAATGAATGTATACGCTCCATTCTTTCACGCTTCACTCGACTACCAACAGAATTGTATCTCAAGGCGATCTAGTAAATATGGTCGAACGTCAGCTCTGGTCCGGAGCCAAATAGTATATGTTCTTCTAACGTGCCTCCCTCGCTGAAACTTTATCACACCGGCTCACTATTGCCGTGCGGGCGCCATTCACCAGTGTCCAAAGCCAAAAATCAAGGAAATAGCGTAAAATGCACCAGGGGTGAATCGAGCCCTACTTAAAAGTTTACCATTGTGCCGTGTGAGGGATATCGATTCATTACTCATGAAAAAAAGCAGGTCTTACTCCAAGAGTTAAGATTTTGTCGGCTAACTAAAGGGCGATAAATCTACGGGACCAGATGTACGGATAAATATCTTATGGGCGAAGAAGCATATGTTCAATACAACGGGTGTATATTGTGAGATGGGAGGAAAGGGAACGTTAAGAGAGCCTGTAAATATCATCAGAAAGACGGAAGCTGAACATAGGTATCAGGTGAACCACAGGGTTTCTACGTTTTTGGAATAAAGTCGATTTTCGGGGTATGCCTTACCGCGATATTGTGGGGATATTCCAGCCTCACCATCGGTCCTTTGAATGTCAATGAAGTAGAACGTGGGATGGTATATATCGAGGAACCTGCAAACATAAGCTGGAAAAAGTGCTGACGATAGAATATGAATACATTACCATATGGCAAAAACCTGCAGGGAACGCAAGTATTAGTAATAATAAACAGAGTGACTGACGAGGAACTTGACTCTGCAGAAATAGAATGGGGTAGAATTTATGATAGAATCGCCTGGCCTCGGATGGTAACCGCGCCTGAATGGCTGGGAAACTGTGAACGCCAAATAGCTTAGAACTCGTGGATACGTGCAAAGAGGCGCAGAGAGCACCAATGGATATAGATTCGTACATTTTGGAAAATTCAGCAGTCATGGAATACGTAGCGAGCCCCTGCGATGAATATTAATAGATGGATTCAATCTTTAAGTATATCTCGGAGCTGGGTCTAAAATACCTTTCCATGAGAAATCGGAGGGTAAGATTGGAAGGGTTGATCTTCTCGAATGTGAGCGTGAAGGTTGGAAATACGAAGCGAAAATAAGAAGCTGAACAGATCGTGGACAGCACTAAGCTTCTGGCATGTCATCCTTGTTGTAAGCATCGTTCGCCTTCGAAGTTACTCATGCGCGTTCATCTCTTGGCGCGTCTCAGTTTTAAAGTACGTGATGGGGATATATCGAACAAAAGTCCCAGGCAAAGTAATCATATCAGGTTCTTTACGTCCATGTAATTTTAAGCACACGCACCCATTTTTCGCAAAGTACTTAGCCTAGTTGGACCAGCAGACGCACACAGAGTTCCGTCCTTCCCCTCAGATTCCTCTGGTTGTTACTCCCAATTTTCTAGGAAGGGTGACATTGAATTGGTGTCCTGAACGCGATCCTGTAAACTAGAACGTACCACGCCAGTAAATGCTCCACCAACTACTAATCAGAATACCTTCAGACAACCCCATACTTCTTGTCCCTTACGACTACATGAAGCTAAATCATCTTTTTGTTTCAAATTGAAATCCACAAGAAAGGGAATGTAAGAGGCGCCAGCGACGGATGTAGTTGGAATACTCATCGCAAGGATTTTGAGCCTGAACGCCTTTATCTATCTGTTGTGAGCGGATTGACCCGTTTACACGTCTGTAATCTTAGTTAACCAGGATCTTAGGATTAGAAATCGCCTCACCGTGCAGAGGAGAAGGATGGATGTCCTCCCAGGTTGTATCCTCATCGGTGTTTATTCGTATGCAAGGTCTGCTTGTTCCATCGATTGTCGAACGAGAAACGGGTCGAAGAAGATCATTGGGCACAGCCACCGGTAATCTAAGTCTGTTTCGGTCTTTCCCGCGTTTTGATTCGATTGTTTATCTTCTCCACTCTCCTGTCGCATAGGGTGCACAGATAATAGTGCCTTTCCCTTTTTTACATTTGTGCTGAATTATTCCATGACGAGCACTGCCATTCTTGGGAGTACGAGTCCGACTCCAGGTCTGTGATTTTGATTCCGCTCAGCACACAATGACGGACACATGGTCTCGGGTCACTGCGTTATAAAGCCTGTTACCATCGCATCCACTGGGAAGTATAAAGTGAATAACCCCACTTCGTGTATCTCACCAATTTTTGCTTAACAAATGACCTTTGCGACCTTTTCATACCATTGAAACGCTCAAGAAATTATTTAATTCAACAAAAATGATGTTAATGATACCAAAATTCTTCAGGAGTGGCGGTTGTACTAATCTGGAGTATTCGCTAGGCTAACGTGTCGAGGCCATGTTCTATGGACATTTGATTGTACGTATGATGTGTCAACCACGCCGACGACCACACGACCATGTTCCACACGACCATGTAGCCATGCAGCCAACCACACAAAAATCCTCTTTCCCGGTCTTAGAGCTGCTGGCGACGGAGCTACTGCTGCTAGCACCTGGAGTGCTCAAGCCAGCATGACCCGGAAAGGGGGAGGATGGAGCCTGTGGATTGGCATCTGGAGTCGAAGGCCGTGTGATATCAACCGGCGGAAGAGTGGTATTGGAAGGTGCAGCATCCGGGGCGTGAGGTACATCTGGCTCTGAAGACGTAGTACGATGTTGAATATACACCCCGCTTCCTGGCTGCCCAATTATTCCATCTTGCATAGCTGTCGAGCAGGGGGACAGGTGGCGGATGGGAGTGGGGTCCAGGGCAGCAGTCCTTCTGCCATGTCTCGATGCATGCATTCCAATCCTTGCGTCGGTAGAATTCAGGCCGGAAGCGATACGTGTCGATTTGCTCCTGGCAAGACTCCCTGAAAGAGAACCTTTTGAGATACGGGCACCCAGCATCGAAGAACGAAGTATCTCACCAGGAAGTGTAAACGCCGGGCTTGATGCCTTTTTTGACGATGTATAGTCGAAGCTCTTCCATGGTACAAGATGCATGGATTCTATCAGGATAGAACGGCGGATTGCAGGGCCCATGGCACTGCAGGACATTTTCCGGGTTGGCAAATAGTTGAGAATTATTCTGGTCGCTCGCCATTGATGAGGAGGGTCTGTCAAAGACGAGGAAGAGGGAAGTAACGCACTGAAAGAAAGACGTTCATGATGAGAATGGCTATTTAAAGCGACCGATTGGAGATTTTGACATCGTCTAGCATGTATCATCAGTCAATCAAAGGATGCGACACTGAGGACTGCGCTAAACGATGAAACATCAAGTGAAGTCTTCCTTGACAGATCGACCGTGTTGCCATCAATTTATAGTGATGATGGATCTAGCGGTTCACATAATTCTTCCACCGCTTGTGCATACATATCTGCAGAGCTGAATTGATGAAGAAATACCCGCGTCGAGTGGATAACTGCGATAGCAGTGCCAGCAGCCATGGCGATGATAGATACAGTCAGTGGTCGATGAGTTTATGGCTTGGCATAGATCTTTCTGGCCCACGAATGTATAGCTTGAAGATAACATGTCTCCGAGTCCCTGACACGTCGCTCAGTATACGTGATGGGATTCCGAAGGCAATGACATGTTCCTGGGTCTAGATGTTGTTCAGCATGGGTGCAGAATGTAACCACATAAATGGCCATTATATGCGGCACATTGTGGGTACTATTGAGACAAAAGGTACATGCACACAATTTTGAAACTAAGAATCCGGACACTTTCTATTTTTATGCGAAGAGAGATTCGACAGCGATCAGTATTAGGCACACCCATCATAATTGTGGTTTTCAGAACTATTTTAGGATCAGGGATGATTTCGAGAGCTGATGGTGCTATTAATAGAAACGGCTGAAGGCGTGCGGTTATTACAATACATGCCGTCTATTAGTATAATATTATTAGTGTCTGATTTTTGGATCCCGATGGTGGGTATGTCTACTTGCTACATTACGTTCAACTCGAAGGATAAGAATTTTGATGTTATGCGTGTTTTTTCTTCCCTGCTGTCCGCAATTAATACCTGTCCGACTTTTGGTACGCAAGTCGAAGTCTGGTAAGATTTAGCTGCAGGACGCCTTCGTGGCGTAGTGGATACAAGTACACCTTGGGTTCGAATCCCAGCAGAGATATATAGTAACATTGGCTTTCATTTTATTACTCGCATCAAGAGGGACCTGCACCGTCGACTGAACCTTTTTGTCGACATGACATCAAAATCAAACTTTTCTGTGAGTGATAATTAACGTTGCTTGGCTTGGGTGGTGCTGAGAGCAGAATGAAGCTTGAGCGATGTAGTTACTTCTCTCGGCTCCAATTTCCACGCCGATCCACTATTGGTGCTGGCATGGGAATGCTTGCTCGTCTTTCGCCGGAGAATCACACTTTTCACCCTTCTTATTTCGAACAAAAAAAAAACGAAAAAGTTACGAGTTTTTGTACCTTGAAATAGCACCTTGGCGGAATCGAACCACGGAAAGACGGGGTACGTATCGAGCTGCATGCAGAAAACTGTACTTGAGACCTTGAATAACGTAAAGAAGCCAAAGGCCCAGCAACTGGATGAGTATAACGGAAGCGAGATCACGTCCAACATGGTAATGCTCGACTTTTCTTTCCGTGCAGGAAGAAAAAGAAATCCGGGAGATAAAAGACACCTTCAGAAGGGATTCGAACCCCTGATATATGGTAGTGGAAACGACGTAGCCAATACACCACGAAGGGTATATAAAACCCAGACCCTTCCAAGTTCTTCACGCCGCCATGAGTTGACCCGGGAATAGGACTGCGATTGGTGCTTTGCCGCTGTCATGCTCCTCCCATGGCACGAATGTGTGAATGGATGCATACTGTCGTTCTCTACCTGCCGAGAACAATATCAGTGTATTAGAGCGCAGGACGACGGGATGCTGTCTCGCTGGAGGAAGGTGTATAGGCAGGCATGTTCATTCATAATGCACGACGGGATAATTTAGAGCTCGCACGAGAGGCTCAAGTGTTGTCATTCTCGGACTAGATGAGGATGGAGAGAGCGCCGTTGGGTGCGGATGAAGGAGCACTGACGCCATCGAAGTGGTGGGGTATCGTAGAGGTGGAGGTCGGGGCAAAGACGACTGGTCGGGGAGAGCGCAGCGTAGAGGTTGATGGAGGCGCATTCAGAGGGCTAGGATGGTGTGTGCGGTGAAGATGGCTTGGATGTAGCGGTCGTACTGTGGGCACCAGATATGAATAAGCGTGATTAGAAGAGCTAGAGTATGCTTACCTGCACGTCGCTTAAGCCTCGCGCGTGCCGGTCTCCCAAGGATGTCGACGGCGAGGCCAGATACTGTAGTTGTTATAGTGGATTTTGTGCATAGTTCACAAGTTGTCGAAATACAATCCCCGAGTTACCTGAAACCTAAATAAGTTATCCGTTGTTCATCAGAGCAAAGAGTGCTTACCCATGCAATGATACCGCCACAATCGACTAGTCCGCGCAATATCCCAGACCATCAGGGTCGACCTGGTACGCGTAGCATTTAGTTGTGGACGCCGTCCCAGTCCTCGACAGCAGGCGAGTCGGAGAATCTAGAGTAGTTGGAAACCGTATACTGGGTAGTCAGCAGAAAGAACACCAAAGCGTGGATGTGGTCGTGTAGCTTTGTGAGCTGTTCGCATTCAGGAACCAGGATCGTATACCAATGACATACTTGGCATAGAAGGAGGGGAGTAAAATGTGATGGTGTTCGTCATAGAGGACTAGTATGATTACGTGCCTGTGCGTGGGACCGACATTGTGCACGATTCGTCCTTACTTCGCACGATGACAAGAATGTAGTGGATATAGGCAATGTTAAGCGAAACGAGCAGTGGTCGGCGCAGGACTGTTTTGTTGATCAATAGGTTCCCATGGAAATGCATCGAGCTGAGACTTCTTCCTTTCTTTCTTTCTGGCAGCTGATACTAAGAACATCCGGCATGCCTATGAGAAGGAAGATGATGGACCCATCATGAAGCATACGTGATCCCAGAACAACAACCAGTTGCTGCGAACGGAGCTGGTGAGGTTTTCCCGATTCCGAAGGTGCGGAAGTTGAACATCCCTGAACAGAAAAAGAGCATGCATTCCTCTACAACAGAAAAATGGCGATCTCCCCAAGCCCAGTCTTCATCATAATCCAACGCCGTCCAATTGTTCGACAAGAACGAGGACTTGGGTGGTGGGCTAGGGAAGATAGTGGTGTGTTCGACCACGGTCGGGGTCTGGGGTGAGGATGACTTGCATGCAATGGTCATACTGTGGGTACAGTTGAATAAGCGAGTTTAGAATAGGTAGAGGATAGGTACCTGCGTATCGTCTCCTTCATCGAGGTAGCCGTTTTCACAGGCCTTCCAGATGTAGGACAACATTTTGGAGGGGTTGTCGCTGGGAGCTAAGTCGTCGGCTGTGAGGTTGACTGGGCGCAGGTCAAAGTCGATGGAGTGGATTTCATCCAGGGTTCCCGTTGTCGTCCAGATGCAGGAGTATAGCCTACATAAGTTAGCCGTCGTTGACATCCATCCAAGATATTTAGGTTCCGTGTTGAGTGAACAACGTGCTTCTCCGGAACCACTCTGAGGATTGGTATCCGCGTCCGATAACGCAGACCATGAGGACAGACCAGATTTCTCTTAGAAACAGCTAGAAGACGGTAGCATTGGAATATGGAGGTTATGGTGAAGGTAGTCTCAGGGAGAGGAGAGCCAGCGGGGGGCGGATCGGTAGGCGTGGCACGTGTGGTGCTCGAGATCGGCTTCATCGCAGGAATACGGTTAGTCGTTGGAGAGGATGGTGAGTTTGGAAGCATTCATCCATACGATGTAGAGTCCTGTGAGCATGTGGAAACATTTGTGCATCTGGGTTCTCACTGTCAATGACGCATGCCGGGAAGCAGGGGGAGTCTTACCTGGCGTAGTCATTTTTCTTCGCCATCATCGCGTCATCCATCAAGCCCACCCAATCAAACAGCGCATTAACCTCATCACTATTGACCCTGACCCTTCGACCCTTCCTATACCACCTACAACGTGATGATTCTTCGTCACGAGGATATACACCTGCGAGGACCAAGGAACGCAAAAGGAACGTCGATATATAGCTCTGTGACAAGATCCGGTTGATGTTTATCGTCTTGGGAAAGGATGTTCCGTGTTTTATGCTGGTCTTGAATAAATGCTGGGGAGCGCTAAGTAATCTAGAAATAAAATCAGTTATCATGTCGCCAGAAGCGTACCAATATAGCTCACATCACTGGATTGCTTTTATCTCGATCAGATGTCCTTCTTGCCAACTTGGAGTTACAATCTGAGGAAGAAGGGGATCGCGCGTCTCCGCACAGTGAGGGAAGCAAGCAAAGACCGGAATTACGAAATAACACCAATCAAATGCCCACGTGAGGTACAGATGTCAATTTCCAATTCTTCCACCCTCTCTTGTCGTGCAATCTTTCAAGGAATTGCTCCTGCAAAAGTCTTCAATGGATGACTGATCTACCTGACATTCCGATTCTCACCATAAATGCAGGATCCCATGCATTCTTCCGATCTGGATTTTTTATGGCCAGGGGGTTTTAAGGCTGTTCATCAACATTGTTCAGGCCATCGTTACTCGTTAGATTCATCTACCTTACGCATGGCTGATTGTACCACCCAAATCCAGCCCCTTGACCAAGCTAAAAATACCATACACGAAGACTCTTACCCTCTGCCGGCCGCCGCGTTGGAGGTGCCGTCCATCTCCTCGGTCTCCCTTTCGTTCATCGCCACTCTCTCCTCATTGGAAACCGTATGTTTTTATCTCCAGTTTGTGTAGGTCCATGGGTATTCATCATCAAAATTGACTTCCGAGAACATCTGAGGATTGTTTTGAGCGACCAGAAGAGATACTATCGCCCTTCAGGGAATGGACATGTACCCTTACCGCCAACCACACTCCTTCCCATGAGATTGGTCCGAACCGACGAGTCTGAAGGCAAAGCAGGGATTGGAATTTGGCCGCGTTTCAGAAATATTGACTTTCTCATTCTTGATGGACTCTTGTTCTCCTTTCGAGGACTTTCGCACGGAGAAGAAGAACTACCCAAGAACCGGCGAGTATATGCATCTCCATACATATTAATTATTTCGCTGCGACCGAGTCCTTCCTACTCCGAGTCTGCGAGTCGCATCTCATGACTCTTGCAAAATTGGACATATACATGAATTGTCGTCGGATTAATTTGCTATCACATCAGGTTGCTATCCAATACACGTTGATATCATTCCACCGCCTACGACGTGTGGCCCGTAGATGTTGCGCGAAGAGGAATAAGTACTGCGCCACTTCTGTTCTTGTGGTGTCAGCCTTACCCGAAATGAACTTGCTCAGGCCAGGAAGGAGAAACCGAGAGCAAAAAAATAAAATGTAGGGTCGCCAAGATATCTAAGCGACGTCGGATTTGAGAGAAGGTACTCCTTTGTGTAAATTGGATTAGTCTCAGCCAAGCTCGGATCTTGAAGGGTTGACCCCACTGAAACAGCGTCCCGCTTCGACGACCTCGAGGTGTTAGGAAATCACCTGTTTGATGTGTCTTACAACCTCAACTACTATTTCCGACGAGTTGGAAGCAGCTAACATTGTGACCGAGCTCGGCCGCTGGGACTCGCAGAAATTCAGACTCCCACTCGCGTACCAGGTACACTGTAACAAGCGCGTGCCCAGTCCGACAAAAATTGATCCGCCAAAATTCATAGCAACCGGATCATTAGATTCAGCGGCCGTGTGGATCTAGGTCTCAGCATCGAAACACGGATATTGATATGAGAGAATTATACAGTGTGGTCATATTCTACAAGTAGCGCCAGGAGAATTGGGACTCGGGATATACCTGTCAAACCCGAGAAGGTCAGTACTGACTTCAATGTTCATGGATATTCGGACTAATAACCACCGATGCCTAATGATGCCAGATGTGGTCCACGCTCAGAGAAGCATCAATACTTAAGGTTCAAGGGGGAAAAAAAGGCGCATAAGCCAAAAAGAATGCCCTGCACGAAGCTACGCGACAAGTGGAGTCCAAGCACAAAATACTTGAATGATGAAGAGACGAACCCAGCCGACGAAAAATAGATGTTGGGACTGGTCATTGGCATGAATAAAGAGTGGCAATCCTGAATGTATAAAGGCAATTCACAAGTAGGTACTATGCACTCGGCATCCGTTTGGCCAAGTCTGCGACTTCAAGTCCAGATCCTCAGGAGCCAGAGACATCATCGCTGCTGGAATCACCACCCGTTGGGTGTGGTGACCCTACAACACTGGATCCAGGACGTGTTGCTGCCACGGTGGATACTAAAGCAAGCATGGAGACGGGGAGGCGGTCCTTCCGAGAAACGGATGTAAGCCAGCAGGTGATTTGTCTAGCTGTAAGCTGTTCAGATCCCCTGGGAAACAGTCAGTAATGAAAGATGAGACACGGATCCTACCTACATTTATGTGACAAAACGAGTCGAGTAAGCTGTTAGAACAAGCTCCGACATGTGTCGACAGGGTATAGAGTAATCATAGCAAGTCGGATGGAAATCCAAATAAGCTTGTTTTGGTCTGGAAAGACGCTCTTAAGACACATCATATTCGCCTCCCAGCGCAATTATCATTTGGACTCTTCTATTAATTTACAGCTGTCAGTAGCCAGGTGGCGTCCAGAGTTGTTGAGCAATGAACGCACCTATCTCGGTAAGGACTATGCTGTATATTTACACCCCTAACGATCGTGAATATCACCACACACAATATAAATCGACAAAGTACAAGTGCTGTTCATGCCCTCACTGATAATCTCTACTGTTACATGACGAGGCGGTCGATTCAAGGTCCAATATCAGAGGGGCGGATGACCGAACATGAGAACAAGGCCCCACAGTTGTCTGAATTCGGCAAAAATACGCACCCGTGGGTGTGTCGCCCACGGTCCATTTTCGCGTTTTCTTTCGTGCGTACAGCACCTTTAATAATGAACAGAAACTCCGATTTAAGATGGGGTTCCACCCACAGATACTATCGTTCCTCGCCTCCACGTGGTTGTCACAGGTCATGATCATTTTAGCAACCGAGCGGAGAAAGAGACCAGACTGCTTCGAGATGCGGTATTCCGGTGACCAAAGAAGTTTCAACGGGCGGTGTGCCCATCCCCCGAGATATCTGATGTCACAGAACCTAATAGTATTTTGAGCATAGTCGAAGACTACTAGACCTGCAGAATAGAGCAACGTGTGTGCGTAGCAATGTCAAGTTTGAAATCATAAGCACAGGACAACGAGGATGATCGACGATATACAATATAGGCTACAAAAGAGGAAGTAGTATGATACAAACTCATCTATGCCAAGAAAGAACATACGAAGAAGTAGGTGTAAGATCTTGAAGTCATGAAGTGGGCAAGGACGTTGGATCCTCCATGTGGGGGTCATCCTCAGATATTGTTGTAGCATCGCTGGAATCAGACCACCCCAACAAACAACGTGTATTCGAAAGCCGATAAGGCTTGTACTGGTGTTCTTGTTGGTGCCGGGAAGTACGGGCAAGTGTCACCGCGTTGATAGATACACTGGCCATGTCTTTATCTCTGCCACGCTCAGTATCCCAATGCTCCTCGTATTTACTCGGGAGCGGTAACCGCGTCTTTCGGGTGGTTTCTCGACAATGCCGGTTCTAAATGATGCCTGAGTGATGATTAATGCTGAAATGAATATCAAGGAGGAGTGGTCGCTCGGGAAAGGGGATGTACGCCAATAAACGATGGTCAACCCTTTCTTGGATGACGTTCATAATTGTCTAAGGATTTTGATTGCATACTCGCATTAAAGACTCGAGTATATCCATCATCGAGTCTAGAGAATCCCAGTGATTTTTTCTGGTGTGCGCCGATCGCTCTGGATCGCGTTCGTAAGAGAGGTCTCTCAGGAGCTGAAGAGTCCTGGTCTCAAAGTGCTCTTTGCCGTCAGAAATTTTCATATTGGAGAAGCTGAACTGAGGGAAGCCTATGAGTAAATTGTCCTTCTGTAGCTCTTGAAATGCGTTGTACGCCTTGAATAAACTTTTTATCAATATGCATTGCAATGCTGACAAGCGCATGCATACCAATACACGGTCACGAAACTCAACATAACGGCCACCCTTTGGTTCCATGACAATTCCAACAACTTCATCATCATGAACCATATGGCCTAGTACCTTGAAATGTAGGTCCAAGTTACGCTGCCGCAAAGCGTCAAGGGAGACCATGGTCTTCTGCATGAACCTCAGATAGTGATCTTCGTGCCCATACCAGATTTCTACAAAGAGTCTTCAGCAGTTGTAGTCACAAAATAATGTCCAACTGACCGACGTCCGTGTTGTTCCACCTTCCTCTCCGATTCATGTCATAGGTCCACTCGTTAATTTCAATTTCGCGCTCATCGATGAGGCGCTCCCAGGTCAGATGAGTAACTGTAAAGGTTGTGGGTCGTAACAGTGTCGGTACCAGACAATGTCCATTCCTTCGAAGGACCAAGAAAACCGTTGAGCTTTGCTCGAAATCAATGGTGCTGATAAGAGTTTCCTGTGATATCGTCAGAATACAAAGCATCATCTTTGATCATTGACTTACGATTAAGCCAACGAAGTGGTGGACTTCAAGCTCATGCTCTGACTTATGTTGCCCCACAATGTGCCGTTTTGGAGCGAATACGCGCAGAACATGCCCATCTCGAACAATGACATGTTCACTATCATTGTCGCCATCCCCTGCCAAAAACGCTACACAACATCAGGCAAAGATAAACGCTGGATCTGTACACTTACAAACGTGTGCTATCGCATGGGGAGGAACTTTGATCGTGGTTCCACGTTCTCAGAGTCAGTGGGATGGCCAGGGACAACACTTCGAAGATGTTGTTACTGTCTCACATCCAGGAGAACAAATCTATCGATGTTCCTGAATATATACAGCATCCTGCTTGATGGACAACGCCGGGCTGAGATGGACCACCCCTTGAATGTCCATGTGGGTCCTTGTTTGAGCTTTACATCAACGGTTTATTGCCTTTCCAGGTCGTAGTGTATGTTGGGTGTATGCGTTCTTCCAGCTTCGTGATTTGCGGACTAGCATCGTGTTCTCAAACCTCATTTTTACCTTCACCCCCACAATGGCTCACCATTTCCAATGCTGTCTAGCTATTGCATTTTCTCCTTTTCTGGTTTTTTTGGCGTCAAGCAAGGTAGAACAGGGCGCTTTATATCTGTGAGTCCAATGATCTTAGTCCTCGTTAAAAGTAGATTTTTAGGTAGTAGCGATGCTTCACCTCCGTACCATCGAACGGTATTCCTCTATGTGCACTACCTATGTTTATCAGTGTCCGAAGTGCACCTGCACATGGAGTATGCTGTCTCGCTGTGCCGCAAATTGTGTCGATAATGGAGGACAAGCATCCATCGTTAAGGGTGCAAAATCTCTGTGTAACAGTTGCGCTGGAAGATAATGATTCTGGAACTCGGTAAGGCATCCATTCTGCCGATCCTCACAGCTCCTTACTGTTCTACTTCAGAGCAATCTTCTCTTTCTTCCTGTTTCATGATCTCACCTGGCTTTTTACATCTCTGACACTCTATGTCTTTGGTTCTCCTGTCTCTCTTCAAGTTCTTCTGGATCTCTTTGCTGTCACTGCTTCTTTCACATATCTCTTCATGGTTAATGACTGCCCGCCCTCCTGGAAATGCCGACAACTATTCTGTAATGGCAAGTGAATTTTATCATTGCAGATCGCCTCTCATTTATTAATAAAATGACAGACTCGCCACACTGAACGTCACTCTCTACATCCCTTAGGCATTTTCGCCAGTCAACTACCCTGAAGATATCTTGAATCTAAATTCCCGATACTATAGAATCGCACACCTCACTGCTACCCCTTAATGGTGTGTAAATGACGCATCACTTGCCTTGGCTCTTAGCTGCTAGTGTAAACCTAATCCTTGCTGCTTAATCTAACATCGTATGTCAACTAAGCTATTATGTAGAAGATGTAGAATACCGTTTGCCAGTAGATTCTAGACCCTTTTTAGTATACTAATTTTGTTGAAAGAGACTTATAATAATAATAATTCTTTCCACGCGCTGCTCAAAGATGATGTCGGTAGTCTCGGGCCCCAAAGCGCTGTGAACGTTCATTTTGTAATGAGCTACAACTCGAGCGATCTACACAACCAGCACTATTTTTAGACCCGATCGCTCGATCGTTTCAGTTCCTCCTGTATTCAGTTCTTAATGACAACATTACATGTCTGCAATTTGACTAGAAATCAAAACCTATCTCTTCGTCAAAGTTCACTAAGGTACTATAACCGAGGTCCGAGTGTCGCTGGTCGTGCATGAGATCAAGTTGCCACATTGAAAACAGACTGGCGAGAGCGGTGATTTTAGGCTTCGAAGGAGTGGGAGTGACAAAAAGATAGGTCCTTTAGCCTATTGGCAGTCAGAGTTTGCTCAGCTTTCGCTACTGGCTGTTCTACTGACTCCGCCGCTCTTCATCAAAATTGAATGTTACCATTACATGCAATGGTAACTAGGGATGTCCACCGTACCCGTATACGGGTACGGCCGTAAAGTGTACGGGCACTTGACAGGTACGGATGACCTGTAACCATACCGTAATGGTGTTGCCTGGGATGCTTGACGGTACGGTACGGCCGTATTACGGTCATACGGTTGTTACGGGTATTTCAGCAAGGAATGACTGCTAGAATCAATATATATAAGCTATGACTTTTGACTTTTATCAAGAATAAGAACATACTTTCATGATTCTTCCGATAACTGATACAGCCTAATTAGCGTTGCCGAAGAGTTTTCAAGGAGAACGGATGTCATCCCGCAAACAGAACCAGGCTCTGTTAGCCAAAAAGTCTTCAATAGCACGCACTAAGAGAAAATAATGTCCAGGCTACTTCTTTATGAGCACACAAACAAATTCTTGGTCAAAAATTGAGCCGCATTGTGGGTTCCTGAGCTTTTGTGCACATACCCGTATTTACGGCCGTAAAACCGTATTACGCTATGGGTTGTACGTGCTGATGCCGTACCGCAAACTGTACCGTAAAAAGGTTCCTCGAAGGCCTGACGGTACGGGTACGGCACCGTATATACGGTACCCGTATCCGCCGTATGTACGGGGATAACATGGCTTTTTACCAAATTAGGAACGAGAGCGCCCTGTTCGCACATCAGCGCTGATCCTCTCACGTCGAAGTGCTACACACCGTTGACAGCTTCCTTCATCCACAGAAAAATCGCGCTGTTAAGGATTAAACACCCACTGTTTTTCATTGCGATGAGAAAAACGAGGCTGGTCTGTAGGTCCGAAGAAAATTCTGCCACCTGCCACCGTATAACCCGATGACCAATATGGACAAAATACCACTGTATTTGTGGGGTAATAGCATACCGCCCATAACAAAATGACTCATCGACGCCGTGACGCAACCCTCGTAGCCGGGCACAGCGACAGGGCTCAAAGTGTCAAGCCACCTTCCCGCCAAATTACCGTCAGCATTGTTGAGATTCGAGCACGGGAGGGAACGAAAATGAGCAACTCGTTTATACCTAGTATGCCGACATGGTGGCAAACGGTAAAGAAAAGAAGACTACGGGTACGGTAAGTAACGGGTTCGGAGCCGGTTGATTCCGACGGCTCGTACAGCCACAGTAACTCTAATAAGCATTTCCGATAAGGTACCCCTGATAGAGCTTTCCTCGATCACCATCAACCTAGATAAGGTATAGATAGATGTTAGCGAATTTGACAAGACCTTGACAACATATATAGTCCTTAGAGAGACTGATGAAGCCGTCACATGGGCGAACGCTGCCGACAAGATTGAATTCTCCCCGTGCTGAATATCCATGGGGAGCGATATCAATATATAGCAAATAATAGAGTTCATTGACTGTACCTCGCCTGTTATGATGATGTCACAGAAGAGTCTCTGTTCGTCTGGCTGAAGGCGATGTGCTCTCTGGTAATAAAGAGGCTCCTTTCCACCAGGTTCGCGAACTTCAAGTCCGTCGTGATCGTCTTTGATATGAATTCCGGTTGGAAAATACGACCTCAAGGGGTCCCCGGGAGATAAGGGGTCAAATTCATTGATACTTACTAGTCGGCACTAAAGAGCCTGCGTAGCCAGGAGGTGGAGTTCGTGAAGCTTCCATGTTTGACGAAGTTTGACCACAAGACTTTTCTGCGAAATAGGAGGTGGTGCTCCAGACAAAATCGCCGCATATGCAGTAAATTCGGTATACTGTTCCTCTCATCATTTCGTAGATTATTACAAGAAACGGGAAAGACATACAGTGAAAGTTACTTCCAAGCACCTTCAATACTAAGACCTTATGATGATATAAATGACCGTCGAGACAACCTAATAGATATTGTGTTAGGAGGCATCAAGAAACCGAAACGAGAACCTGGCAAGAGGACGTGACCGATGGCTAAAAGCCATGATTTCGTTTGCCGTACCATTTTGGGTGCCAACTACAGAGGCATGATTCGGATAAGACCTCGAACAAGATGCAAAAAAAAAAAAAAAAAAAGGAATTGCTGAAAGATTGCTAATTCTTCGACCGGGACTCGAACCCCGGTAAGCAGTACAGGATATGACCCACAACGTCACGAAGGATTATTTGGTTGTCTTTTATAGTGATGCCCATGGTGCCTTCAACGAGAGACAGATGGTTCTTGTAATGAAAGTACGACTAAAACTGAAGCAGGAACCTGACTGATACCCCGAGCAAGAGGACATGACCGATTGCTAGGAGCCATGACTGTGTCTGTGGTACCTAACCGAGCCTGGAGAGTCGAGAATGTGGATAAGAGGGTTCGATAAGAGCTCGAGCGAGATGATACCAAAAAGGGTCCTGGATAGGCAACTTCATCCTCCGACTGGGACTCAAACCTAGGGAAGCAACGCAGGGTAAATCGTGCACAGTACCACAACGTCACGACGAAGTATCCCATTTCTTGCTCAGAGCTTCTCTTATACGTTAAGTAGGTCGAACAAGATGGTGTTGAAGTTCAAGCACGGGAGGGAACGAAAGGGGAAACTCGTTTATACCTAGTATGTCGACATGGTGGTAAACGGTAAAGAAAGGAAAACTGCGGGTACGGTAAGTAACGGGTTCGGAGGCGGTTGATTCCGATGGCTCGTACAGCCATCAGTAACTCCAATAGATGGTGTGAAAAAGAGATTTCTACGGACCATCCTTCGACCGGGACTCGAACTCAGATAACTAGCATGATAAGACCACAACATCACGAAGGATTGTCTGAACAAGCCACCTTTAAATAACACGCACGTGACGCAAAGTTGAAAGGCAGATAGCCTAGTAATGAAAATATGGTCACTTGCACGAGGCATGATGCGTACGCGGAATCAAGCTCAGGCTCATGCGCAAAGAAGAAAAAGATTACAACAAAATTTAACCCTTCCAAAGGGATTCGAACCCTAGTTTTGGACGTCACACACCCAGTACGTCACGAAAGACATGGATTATGCCTACAACTGGACAACCGTAATCTTCCCAAACCCCGACCCAAGGGCGATCCTCCCGAGTTCTTCATCATAATCCAACGCGGTCCAATTATTCAACGGGTTCGGGCACACCTCGCGGACACGAGGTTTAGCAGTGGGATTAAGCGGGCCGGGGAATACGGCAGCCATGAGCGTCTCGCGGTGTTCTTGATCCGGGAAGGTCATCACACGATAGGGGCGTATCCATACAGCAGTCTCACATTTCCCGAGTATGACGTCTGTGCATTGAAGAGAGCCGCATTGGGAGGCTATTTCGCTGGTGAAGGTTGGTGGGAAGGAAGAGATGGAATAGAGTTTGAACAAGTCAAGCCCTGATATCCAGGAGTTATCAATCTCGGAGCGGATGAGGACCGATGTGGGTGTTGCACTGGCACCGTCGACGCATCTGAAGGAGTGGGACGCAACGGGAGAGTGTGTTTGTCCGTGGAGGAAGGGCAGGGTAGTGTACAGGTTGATGGAGCGTGCACGGATGACAAGAATGGTTAGCGCGGTGAAGATGACTTGGATGCAGTGGCCATGCTGTAAGTGGATGAGATGAATAAGCGATAGGTAGAACAGTTAGCGAATAGTTACCTGCATGTCTCCTTCATCGAGGTAGGCTCGCTCATCCGTCCTCCAATTATAAATCAATGTCTTGGACAAGTCATCGCTGAGGGCCATGATATCACCAGTGAGGGTGACAAGGTGAAGGTCGATATCGAAAGAGTGAATTTCACGCAGCGTTCCATCGTCATCCAGGTGCAAGAGCGCAATCCTCTGTGACCTACACAAGTTAGTGATGCGTCGTCAGAATAACAAGGACTCACCCATCCAACGCCACAGCGATACTCGCCTCAGACTCTGTATCTGTGTTCAGCCTCACCCCAGTAAACGGCACGCCTCTCGGCGACCACTCCGAGCACTTGTGCCTGCGCACGATATCCCAGATCGCTAGCACCGACCGGGTCCCTTTCGATACAGTCAGCAGCCACTTGTGTTGTCGGCCTGGTATGAATTTGATTTCGGATACGGGGGACCCGGTGAAACTCGTCTCGCTCGCTGGCATCAGAGGAGAGTTTGCAAGCCATCGAGACGTGAGTCGGTACGAGTGAAGCGTGCGTTGCTCAAGGTCTGTATCATCGATGGGAGCGGGGTAGCCATTGGAGAGGATATCGAGTTTGAATGCGTTTGTCCAGACGATGTGTAATCTTGTGAGCGTATTGAACCGTTTACATGTCTGTCACTATTAGCACCTAGAATCTCTGGGCTAGGAAAGACTCACTTGGCGGAGGAGAAGGATGTCAGGAACGGAGAGAAATGCGATAATGTAAATCAGCACATCGTTCGGTAAGTTGTAGAGTGCGTCGTTCATGGACGTTGCAGTCCAAGGTAACTATATAGTTACGGGCCGAATAAACCGGTGACTAAGCTGTTCCCATGGCATTCCCGAGTAGTCGGCGCTGAGATAGCCTTCGGAAGGTCGCAACATCGACTGTGAACGACTTGCCCTTCCTTCATGGTATGAGAGGTGCTCTGCAGCAGATTGATGATAGAACGTGCTCCCTGTTTTCGACTTATCCCAGAGCTGCAAATCGTCTCGCAAAAATAGAACTTTGATTGTCCACTGTCGTGTTCCCGCTATACCTCAGTCTGTAGGCCCGTAGACTGAGATGCTATATATATTTCTCTAACGCGATGATGCGCCATTATCCTGACCCAAAAATCGAGGAAAAAGCATGGAGTAAGCTGTGATATGTGCATGCACCAGAGGGGAATTGAACCCTACATGAAAGTTAACCATTGCAGCAGTAGTGCCGTGTGATGGATAACAAGAACACCTCATTTAGTCTTCGTAAAACCGCGACTGCAAAGGACTCTCAATGGGCAGGGCGGTTGTCCTGAGGCTTGAGCTTCCACGACCAGGTGAGATTGAGATTCGTGCTCGTTAACTAATACTCATTAAAGAGCTTGGACAGCACAAAATTTGAACAATTCCTTTTCCTTCCTGCTGTAAGTATCGTTCGCCTTCGAAGCTTGGCACGTCTTATTGCCGTTTCAGACTCAAGCATTTGGCGGGAATACTTATCTCGAACAAAGATCCTAGGCAACGGAATCATATCAGGAACGACAAGTCTAAGAAATTCGAGTATACGCGTATTATTTTTCCATTGCAGAGTAGTATAATTGAATCAGCATACGCACCTAAAATACCTTCTTTCTTCTTGTAGTCCTCACGTCGTTGCTCTCAATTTTCAGAGAATGTCTTGAGATCTATCGCCATTGCGTCAACTTCTTGAACTCAGCCTTATAAACAAGAACGGACCACTCCACCAAATACGAATCAAAATCCCCTTTTCTGTTCCTTAAGACTACAGCGAGCTGAATCACTTTCTTTGCCTCGAATTCAAATCTACGACTCGGAAGGAACTGTAGAAGGTGCTCCATACTGTGACGGATGTTGTTGGATGAACTCGGCAGCCTTTCTAAACGTTGTTCGGCCGTAAGGCCCATACCTGCACCCCTACGAGGAGAGATGAATATTCTCCGGCATCTTTTCCTAGAGTTCGCTCACCGAAGTCAGACGTTTGTAAACCTAGGGATTGCATTAGAATTTAGACGCTTTCAGCCGGTCCTAGTGAGGATAGAGTCATCAAGCCCCCTGGGAGGCCTTCATGATGCACCGTATTGAAGTTAACGTCTACCAAGGGTTCAAATCCCATTTGAAGAATATGACCAAAGATCGGTAGCTTTTTATTTCCTGTATTACTTGCATCAAAAGGACACCTGCTTCGACACTTTCGTTTGAGTGAAGGGTCTGTTCTATGACAATTTTAAATGTTCAGCGATCCCAATTTTTGAGGGGCGGGCCCCCTCTCTTCAAACTTTGTTATACACCGGTTTCGATGAAAGCTGAGATCGATATAGCTAGATAGTGCACATAGTACTAGGGAGCTACGGTGAGACGTGTCGATGGATACCTTCCGGCTATAGCTCCTACAGATGGTGGCAGATATGATTAGGTATTAGTGCAATGAAAAAAAGGATCAGTTCAGCTTCATAATCATTTGAAAGGGATTCGAACCCTGATAATGGACATAAGTAGTGTACCCAGTATGCCACAAAAGACTACAACTGGATAATTGCAGTCTCAAAAATCAAAATATATTTTCCTTGATATCCAAACCCTTACAAGGAGACCCCTCTAGCTGGTTGGCAGATCGCGAACTTTTTATTACGGTTAATGGATACCGAAACAAGGACAGGTGACATTTAGCTGTTCAGTCATGTACAAGTATTCCTTCATGACATAGTAGTTAGGTCTACCAAGTACGACTTGGGTTCGAATCCCAAGGGAGGAATAATCGAGCGCAATGATTTTGTTTTATTCCTCATAATTAGGTACCTGTACCATCGACTGAATTTTGAAAGCCTGAAAGGTTTTGTCTGACATCCGAAAACCAAACTGTCCCTTGACAGAGACATGCGAAGGAGCATAGACGCTGGCTTAGCATTTACGGTATTGATGGCTCTTGTGGCTCCGATTCCTTCCTGACCACAGAAAGAACGAACTATTTGCGCTACGATAAATGTGGTCGATAAGACCGATATTTTAAGTGTTTCCCTTTACTACACCATTCGAGGAAAAGAGATTATTGTTCCTCAAGAAGTTTACGGTCAGTTTGTTGGTCGCCTCTCGCCTCTACCTCTAATAGCTTTCCCGTACTATTTACTGAATTAAACAGCTAGTACGAATCGTCCTGGAACAGGATGTTACATACCCAGTGCTACGTAGGAGAATACCCCATGGAATACGCAGAGATCAATTCGTTCATCTGTGTACGGTGCCGACATCTGGTGCTTATCTCTTTCTGTAGGAAAAAGAAAAGTCAGCCCGGAAAAAATTCGACTCCTTGCATTCTTCCCTTAGCACAAGGCCCTGAGGAGGGTGGTTGAGTTCCATGACTTGCGAGAAAGGGAAGCAAAAGCTCGACTCAAATAGGGTCATGACCACGACACGGAATCGAACCATGCATGGCGTCTTCTCGCCTCCGTTGATTCATTGAGGCTTCATCAGCAAAACCCAGAATACGTCTTTCCCGTCTTTTGGGTCTTGCACAAGACAAAAGACAAGAAAGACCGAAGACCAATTGTCTTTACCAAGTAAGGTACATTTTCTTAGCAAGACCCTTCGCAGCTTTCTAGAGACTGGTTTTGTCGTGAATAAGATAATAATGATTAACTCAAGACCAGAAATTTCGTGCGAAGACCAGGATAAATTGACAGCATAGTATGTTACAGTACAAAGAAAATGCCACGATTACACTGAAACGATGCTACCCAGATACACGAACGTCAGTGCCAGCCACGCGCTAATCAACAGCCATTACAGACTCGGAGTCTGACAGTCCATCAGCATCACTCGGCGTTGCAGTGACAGTCACGCTCCCAGCCACATTATCCTCCTCTGCCGACTCATCTACAGTGCCCACACTCCCTCCACAGTCTCCCGAGTCCTCGTCTGAGTCCGGGTCAGGAGGATCAGACCTGAACACGATGTCTGCCTCTTGTTCAATGATGTCTGGTGAGGCAGACCATGCAGATGTCGACATTTTGCGCCTTTTCTTTGATGTACTGGTCTCAACAGCCTGCTTAACTTCGGTTAGCAGCTCGATCCACTTAGCATCGTTCCATGAATCCAACGTTGCTTGGTAGATTGATACACGCTTCGTCTTGACGCTCTTTTTCCGGGCATCCTTGCCATACTTGGCGCGTTCTGCTGGGTTGAGAGCGAATTCCTCTGTGACGTTGTCGAAATTTTGCCTCGAAAATGTGGGAGCAGTGGTATTAACGAACACGCCAGTAGTCCACATAGAAATCGCACGCTCGACCTGCAGTGACATTGATTCAGTCTTATTAGTAATAGATCACAAGCGAAGAAAGTCCTCGTACCGCCTGCCCTGTAAGTAACAGTGCACCTTTCGGGTATGGAATTATTGAGAGATTGTTCATGGGCCCCAGTGCCATGAAATGGGCCTCAGCCATGACCCGAATAATCAACTCGTGACAAAAGATTCCCTAGTTGCACGCTGAGACAGCATGAATCATATGAAGAAGGGGACCTACCCTTCTCTTCGCTCCATCGTTCTTCCAAACTTTCCACATAAACGGTGGGCTAGGACCACTGACGTTTCCCTCTGGAGATGTTGACGTGATCAGGTATGCCATATATTGGCCAATGAGCTCGGGTGTTGAGAGCTGATCACTGTGTTCTTTGATGAAGGCCTCAACGGCCTTTTCTGCCTCGACACAAATGTCATGACGAAAATTAGTGATCCGATAATTGGCCTGGCAGTAAACGAAGTGTTAATAGATGGCCAGAAGATAAGAGCAACATACCAGGCTCATCCATGCACCCTTCTCTGCCACGCAGTATTCAGTCCTTCCAAACTCGATGTCAACTGCCTCCTGAACATCCTCGACAGATAGTGAGGCCCAAGGGGTCACTGATTGCCCCACCTTCTCGCGAAGATAGGGAACGATCCACTTGCTGAAAGCATCTTGAGTGCCATCTGGCAAATGGTTCGTCGTCCATTTGTTCTTGCCACCTCGTGCCTGTCTTGCGGTCATCATCAGTGGACCCTCTTTCTTGACTATTTTGACAGTGACATCCTGGAATATAATAGTTAGCCTGTAGTTAATAGTACAAGCTCTGAAGATATACCACCACACCCGTCGGTTTGCGGTCTGTTAAGTTTCCCTTGGTCTTGACGATGTCGACAAATTCAGGCTTAATGTCTTCATCATCTTCGACCATGCCGCCAGCTCAAACAAGTGAGTCATTTTCTTCGTTCATGGTATCTGTAGTATAGAATGTAGCATCAGCATAGCAGCAATTGATTGAAGACCTCATGAATACATACCTTTCTTTCCAGCATTGTGAGGTCCATCCCTGCTCTTCTTCTTCTCCCAGTTCTTTGCTAACTCGTTGGTGGGTTTTGCAGTCTTAGTGGAATTTGTAGTTTTGGTATCGAGTTTTTTCTTCTTTGTAGGCGGTACTTGCACCTCCGGAGAAATTGATTCGTCTTCAGAACACAAGCTAGAAAATCTCATTATCAGCATGCATTGACAGAGACAAGATATAAGAGATACACGACAGGTTTGTCCAGCACTGCGTCATCAATGACTCGACTCTTGCGTTTCAGGACGTGCTTGGGTGCCATAGTAGTTTCCACTTTGGGGCCAGATCCTGATATCAGCAAAGAAAGCTTCGGTGTGGCCACACCCTCATTGGTGGACCGACTGTTGGCGATAGCAGTGCGTGCAGAGACTTTGACTGGCCTGCTGGTGGGCTTTGGTCTCAATTTGGTTGGATCTTTCAACTCGGCATTAACGTGATCTCCAGATTTATCATGAGGTATGTGCTCATCTGACTCTTCATGTGATCCATCACTGCCAACAAGCACTTGGCATGCGCCCGTGCTTGGGTCTTCCTCACAAGAAATGTCTGCTTCGCTATTGTGAGTAGTGGAATCTCATGGCATTAAAGGTACTGACTTTGCTGGTTTAGCTCTTGGGTTTCTTCATTTGCTGAAGTCACTGAGATCTCTGGGCGTAATACCTGGCTCGACGGTGGTGGAGAAACAGTGAGAGCAAGCTGAGGATTTTGAACATCTTTGACTGTAATACAAGAGGAGTAAGCACGATGTCTCCCGCTAAAAAAACATTGAACTGACCCGCTCTCTTCCTAGCTGAAGGAGCATGTTTTTTGGGGCCAACAGGGTGGTTCACTGTCAACTCTCGAGCAACATCCTCCCGACGAAGCGTATCCTCAAGGATAGCAACATCTACCTTAGCCTTGTCCCTCTGTACCTGTAGCTTAGTGCTATCTGCCTTTTTTTGTGCCTGTTTCTTCAGCTTCTCTCCGACAGTCTCAACATCATCCTCATTCTCCCAGTCGTCAACAGTTCCGGGATGACTGTCTTTGTTACCATTACGCAGCTGCATCCAATGAGCCACGGGTTTCCCTTTCATCCCAGTAGGAAGATCAAGAGCTTTTTTCGAACGGGGAGGCATAGAGTATTATGAGGAAGGTGGGCAATGAAAAGGTGAGTAGGCAACGGCACCCTGCTGTGTCACGTCAAGTTGATGTTTTTTTTTTTTGCAAAGTCCGAATGACAGTGCAATTTATTCTCCGCCTTTGGCTGCATTCAACCTCATCAATCTACTTGACTATGCCAAGAACGCTGAAACAAAGGTCGATTCCTTGCAAGAACAAGGAGCTTGGCTGCACTCGTTACTTCTCATCTGCAAATGGTGTCTCTATTCATCTTGCATCTTGTAAATTCTGCACTCCATCATTTCGTCCCACCGTACGAACACGTCACTCTTACACATCTGCACACACAATTCCATTACAGCTAGAGCATGAAAATTTTGATGACGATGTTCATTCCAATGCACCAAGTCCTGCCAGAGACCCTCCCTCTCCCATAGATGGCCATGCTGAAGACCATGAAGCACCAGAACATGTGGAGTATCATCTGGCTGTTAATGGTATGCGGAGTAAATTTCCGCCATCTGTATTGACCTTATATAGAATTTAGGGAAGCCCTGTGGTAGCGAGGGCACCATTCTTCCTGATGGAACACCACCACCGCCATTTATTTATGGATCCCCAGATGACTTTACACCTTTCGAGGATCGTACTTCCTTTGAACTTGCTGACTTGCTGTATAGGTGGAACCAAATGCCTGCTGCTCAGCTCAACAATCTTCTTCAAATATGGTCTGCATGTCATGTGGACAGCCCACCTTTTGTTAATGCCGACGACTTGTACAGCAGCATTGATGCGACAACAATTGGTAGCGTGCCATGGCAATCATTCTCGGTGTTATATCAAGGCGAGATTGAAAGTGAGTCACCACCATCTTGGAAGACCACGGAATATGAAGTTTTTTTTCATGACCCTCGTGAAGTGATCAAAAACCAACTTGCCAATCCTGACTTTGCCAACGAGATGGACTTCTCACCGAAACGTGTCACTGACCGACAAGGAAGACGTTGATACCAAGATTTCATGTCTGGCAATTGGGCTTGGCGGCAGGCGGTATGTCTTAATTCTATATCTGTTTTATTCTACATCAGTTTATTGACTCAAACCATTATTTTCAGGATCAGATTTCTGATGAACTTGGCCTAAGTGATATCACCTACTGCCCTGTTATCGCTGGTAGTGACAAAACCACGGTCTCAGTGGCGACAGGACAGAATGAATTTTATCCGTTGTATGCATCAAATGGTCTGATTCATAATAAAGTACGCCGTGCACATCGGAATGGAGTTTCTCTCATCGGCTTTCTGTCTGTACCTAAGAGTAAGTCTTACCACCATCTAATTCCTTGATCTTCATGTATTGATTACTTTTTGCTCTTATCAGCAGATCGCCAGCATCATGACAGCTCAGAATTTCGGGCCTTCCGTCGTCAGATCTTCCACAGCTCACTCCGGGCTATCTTTGAATCATTGCGTCCTGGTATGGAGACCCCTGAAATTTTACGCTACGGTGATGGACATTACCGCCGGACTATATATGGACTTGGACCATATATCACTGACTACCCTGAGCAGGCCTTACTTGCCTGCATTGTGCAGGGATGGTGTCCTCGGTAGGTCTTTCATGTATCTCTCATTTATCTCCACAACTCAACGTTGAAGGTGTACTGCCTCACATCGCAATTTAGATGGTCCTGGTGGCCGAAGAACACATGAACATACCACTGCGTGTTTCCATGCTATGTCCTCTAAGGAGATGTGGGATGATTATGGGATTATCGACGGAATAATGGTATTTGTGCTTTTCTACATTTTCTCATCTCCTCATGTTTCTCATCCAGCCGTATACATCGGGATTCCCCAGAGCCAATCTCCATGAACTTCTTTCATCTGACCTTCTTCATCAAATCATCAAGGGAACATTCAAGGACCATTTGGTGACATGGGTTGAAGAATACATCAAGACTTCGAATACCCCACAGGAAGCGGCGAGAATCTTAGCAGATATTGACCGCCGGTAAGTTTCTGGCCATGGAATTAACTCTGTGTCTCATATGTTCATAGCATTGCTGCTGTACCCCCATTTCCTGGCTTACGGCGATTCCCTGAAGGTCGTGGCTTCAAGCAATGGACAGGAGATGACTCCAAGGCACTCATGAAGGTTTGTACCTCATCATATTGGTGGTTCATGCAGTAGAAAGCTTATCATTGTGTAACAGGTTTATCTCCCTGCTATTGCTGGTCATGTACCCCCACAAATGGTCTATGCGCTATCAGCATTCATGGAGTTTTGTTACTGTGTACGTCGCTCAGTGATTGATGAAGACGATCTGGTCAAAATCAATGCATCTGTGGCTGACTTCCATCGTGAGAGAGAAGTCTTTCGCACCCTTGGGATACGGACAGATGACATCCGCAATGATGGCACTCGCACAGATGCATTTTCACTGCCACGCCAGCATGCACTTTCCCACTTCCGTCACCTTATCCAGGAGTTTGGAGCACCCAACGGACTTTGCTCATCTATCACAGAATCGAAGCACATCAAAGCAGTCAAAGAACCATGGCGACGTTCGAATCGTTTCGAAGCTCTTGGACAAATGTTGCTGATCAACGAGCAGCTTGATAAACTGGCAGCTGCTCAGGTGGATTTCCAAGCACGAGGGATGTTGGATGGTTCACTATTTGGCGAGTCACATGCAGAAGTATCAGCATCAGATAGTACCAATGAGAATGACGATGGTGGGCCCATGGAATCACCAGATGTTCTTGCTGAGGTCAAGCTGGCTCGAACACCAGGTCTGTCTTCATTCTTGTTAAATATAAATACCCTTCTGATCTTCTTTATAGTTCTAGCATCCAAGGCACCACGCAATATCATTTTCTTAGCACAGCGTCTCAATCTACCACACCTGCCAGAATTCGTATGAAGATTCCTCTATGAGCAGCTTTCAATCAATCCGGAAGTGGTGCCAGAGGATGTTGACCTCAACCAGTGCCCACAGTACCATGGAAAAATCACTGTATATCCCTCAGCTGTATCAATGTACTACACCCCCAGTGATTTGTCGGGGATTGGTGGCTTACACCGTGAGCATATACGTGCTATGACATCATGGAGAAAAGGTTCCGCACGCTACAATTGTGTGTTTTGTGAGGCAGGTGAGGAAGGCAAAGGGTTCCGTGCGCTCCATGTTGCCCGTGTTCAGCTATTCTTCAGTCTGCGACACTGTGGGATTTATTATCCCTGCGCATTAGTGACGTGGTTCTCCCCTGTAGGAGATGTGCCTTGTCCTGATACCGGCATGTGGGTTGTACGCCCAGACATTGATGCTGTGGGAGAACGAATTATGTCCATAATTCATCTAGATTGTATCGTGCGTGCAGCACACTTGATTGGGGTTGCTGGTGAGGAATTTATACCTAAGGGGTTAAAGCATAGCGATAGTTTAGACGTTTTCCCTTCCTTCTTTGTAAATAAGTACGCAGACCATCATGCACATGAAATAGCATTCTGACTTTGCCGAGCATTTAGTCTTACTCTGCTATCAATCTTGTTACTGCTATCTGCAAAGAAATGTTTCATTCCCAAAGACTTAAAAGATTAGTGAACGAAAGATCTGGAACCCGAAACCAAGATTAAGATGCGCTAAGATCAGACAATTAAGACTAAGCACCAGAAGACCTTTTCTGGGTTTTGCTGATGTTGGAGGGAGATATTAGCGAGATTCTCGAATTTCAACTGTAACGTAAGACGAGAGAAACTGTCTTACAGAAGTGTTCATGCCTTTTTTTACCTTCTTGGAACATGTATCGTGTCGTGTTTTGAAGAAAAAAAAACTTATCACACTTATCACAGTTACACAGATAACTGATCCACGGAATCGAACTATGGACAGCCGGTGCTATTATATCTTGAGCTGTGTGTCGTTAGTTAGGTAGGTACAACTTACGAGATTAAAAAGGACAGATGAAAATTAATATGACGCCTTGATATGTGGTAAACTCGGAGCCCAACACAGGAACGAAGGGTTATTGTTATTGTGAATATACGCTTCGTAATGATTTCTGCATCAGGGTTGAAGACGCAGAAGGGAACTGGATTGGTAGTGGAAAAGCACAGTCATCTCACCAATCATCATCCGAGCGCCAAGGCAAGTGTCGTTTCGTGCAAGGAACACCCAACTTATGGGCCTCGGTTTGGCTGCGAGAAAGAGAAGATGGACAGAAAGAAAAGAAAAGAATCCTTCGAATGGGATTTAAACCCTGTGAAGGAGTGTCAAGAACGGGGTATAACAATACACGTTCCGAACCGAACATGCAAACCAATGTTTCATCCTGGATTGGACAGAAAATAGGAAGATATTAGCTTAAGCCAGACCAAAATAACGGCGCATCAAATTAACTTGGTGAACAAGAAAAAAATTGAAGCATACTACAGGGATTTCTTAACCCCTGGTGGTCGGCGAAGGGTACCAGTAAGCCCACAGCGACACAAAGATTCATTGTAGCCCCTACATGCCGTCGATTTATAGGGATTTCCTGTCACTGGAAATGCTGATGAATACCGATAAACAGAAAGAACCCGCCTGACATTGAGGACAGGAAATGGAAGGCCGTATCCTCCGTGATGGATAGATACACTGAAACTAGAAAGTATCTCTAGTTTAATGGACACGGGTTAGCAGCGAGAATGAAAAAGCCGAAGACTAGCCATTTGAGTCCTTCGAAAGGGATTTGGACCTTAGAATTGGATACAGTACGCCAGTACGCCAAGAAGGATATACTTGGGACTAGAACTGAACAATCCAAACTGAGGGCGATACTACTTAGTTCTTCGTCACAATTCAGGGCAGTCCAGTTCTTGGATGTGTGTGCTGAGCGGAGCAAGGAATATGACAGCAACTGGTGGTTCACAACCATGTTCACAGTGGGAAAGCATGCCATCTTCACAAACGCTACCACATCGTCATACTGCAGCACAGCGCTTGCTGAGAGTGCATCGGGGTGCGTCCTGGTGGGATAATATCCTGGAGAGGAGGACTGCGGGCTAGGAGTGTGAATAGAGATCGAGTAAATAGAACGATGACGACCAGGGGCTGTAGTTCATGGAGCAAGGAAAGGCACATGGCACAGATGACGAGTACGGCAAAGATGGCTTGGATGTAGTCGTCGTACTGTGAGTGGAAGATGTGAATACACGTGATTAGAAGAGCTGGGGCACGTTTCCCTAACTCTACACATTGCGTACGTGGATGCACCCACTAATTTTTCGGTTGTATGAGCGTCGAGGAGACATCGCCACAGAGAATGATTATGTAACCAGTGATGTTGACATATACGCGCTGGGAGGAGGTTGGATTTCGTGCAGGTTTCCATTGCCGTTGGTATCCAAGAGCACGAGTCCTCTGTAAGTCACATAAGTCGGCCATCATTCACGTTGATCAGAGTAACGAGTGCCTACCTATCCAATGATGCCACCACATTCGACTCGTCCATCCGTGCAATATCCAAGACCGTCAGGATCAACCTGGTATGCTTCATATCCACTTGCAGGTACCATCCCAGTCCTCGGAAGCGGGTGAGGCGGCGAAACTCGTCTTGCTTCTCCGGATTAGAGCATTTGGAGACCGGTATATGGGATGGTAGAGGCCATATAGCCAATATTGTGTACAATTGCCCTGTAAGCACAGGAATTAAATTGTATACAATCCCATGAGGTCTGAGTTGTATACTTACATGACTCCTGATATGTAATGGCCTAAATCCGCATTTTCTCAAATATTAGGCACATTTCCCATTGGGATGGGCTAGAATTTTCTGTGGGACCTTTCATAAAAATCTATAATTAGCCTGTGAAGTCAGCCCATCAATATCTGGCCGAAAACGGCTGGATGCGACCAAATGAAAATGGATGTAGTGGCAGTGCTGAATTTTTGATGGCATCATAGGGGCTATTTTCCGGTCAGAATAGGATTTAGGCTGGTTTCTGGGTGCTCGGTGGGTCAGGGAATGGTACTGGAATATTCATAAACCTGAATAACATAAGATCTGACCTACTGATGAGGTATGGGGGCTCTGGAGAGCATGTAATATAGGATTTTCGCAAAAATAGCTGCAATATTTGCTTTTTTGGGGGTTTTTAGGGTGATACATGCATTGGATCGACCGGGGGACTTCACCAATGAATTTCCTGACCTTTAAAACCCCCAAAAGATCCCTCTATAGCACTTGTGGCACATTTTATTACCAGGATTAGACGAGCATATTGGATTTTTAGGATGCAGCATGCTTTGGATTGCTTTGAAAACTATACCAGTCAATTTGTACACTATGAAAACCTTAGAATACATTGTCTTCTATAATATTTGACCTGTATAATACTGTAAAAAAGTGGGGATTGGGGTGCACATATGGTTTATTTTGTTTTCTGTGCTTCGGATGAGTCTGGGACTATCACCAATAGATTCCTTGACATTTAAAACCCTAAAACGACTATAGGAACCTTTTATTGGGCTCCATAAACGATGGTAATAACAATATTACAGTTTAGGAGGAGCACATATGGAAAATCACTTTTCTGTACCTCGGAATACTTCGGAACTTCTACCAGTGTATTTATTGACCTCGAAAACCCTCGGATAACACCAGGATTTAAAGAAAACCTACAAAAATACGTGTTAAAAAAGAGTAATAGGGGATGGAGGAGATATACCTTGTATTACGCATTTCTGGTGGTTGGAGAAGGTATTCCTGTTATATGAGAGACGATATGTATTGTATAATCATTTGTACAAATTCCCACATTCATCCGAAATGTATTGGAAGAGATATAAGTAAATCATTCTGCAAATGATGAGGAGCACATCCCCAATTTCGATATTCTGATCATTCTATAGCTTGGAGAATGTCAGAATCGGATTCCTTGACCAAAAAAAGGGTAGGATCACCAATCATCCATGGGATGCTCGTCTAATCCTGGTAATAAAATGTGCCACAAGTGCTATAGAGGGATCTTTTGGGGGTTTTAAAGGTCAGGAAATTCATTGGTGAAGTCCCCCGGTCGATCCAATGCATGTATCACCCTAAAAACCCCCAAAAAAGCAAATATTGCAGCTATTTTTGCGAAAATCCTATATTACATGCTCTCCAGAGCCCCCATACCTCATCAGTAGGTCAGATCTTATGTTATTCAGGTTTATGAATATTCCAGTACCATTCCCTGACCCACCGAGCACCCAGAAACCAGCCTAAATCCTATTCTGACCGGAAAATAGCCCCTATGATGCCATCAAAAATTCAGCACTGCCACTACATCCATTTTCATTTGGTCGCATCCAGCCGTTTTCGGCCAGATATTGATGGGCTGACTTCACAGGCTAATTATAGATTTTTATGAAAGGTCCCACAGAAAATTCTAGCCCATCCCAATGGGAAATGTGCCTAATATTTGAGAAAATGCGGATTTTGATTGGATCCAGGCTTTCATACATGTGTATACTTATCATGCCTACAGGCCTCACAGAATTGTATACAATCTAATTCCTGAGCCTACAGGAAATTGTATACACAACTGGCCTTATGAGGTGGATGGTAATTGGAAAGAACACAAAACTCAGATGCATTCATGTACTCTTGTGAGCGCTTGCATTCAACAACCAGAGATCATGTACAAGTGAAATACTCACTCGGCAGAGAAGAAGGGGAGAGAAATGGGATGGTATTCGTCATAGAAAGGCCTGGAATGATTACATGTCTATGCGCAGTATGTCGGGACTGAGGCATGTTTGCTTAAATATAACATTTGTTGAGAGAAGCAAGTAGTAGTCGGTGTAGCATGCCAGGATACTTTTGTTGATGACATAGAAATGCGTCGAGGGTCCATGCATCAGTGGAATAGTATCTGGGACTCCTTCCTGCCATTCTTTCTGCGGTCCGATACTAAGAACACCTGGCAAGTCTATGAGCGGGAAGACGACGAACCCCTCCCAAAGCATACTCGAATCCATAGCAACAACTAGCAACAACCAGTCGCTGCGAATGGTGTCGGTGAGGCTTCTCCTGATTCCGAAGGTGCATCAGTTCAGCATTCTCTCGAACGCATAAACAGCATACAATCCTGTACACCTGAACAATCGTAATATCCCCGAAAAACAGTCTTCATCATAATCCAACGATGTCTAATTGTTGGACGAGAACGAGGACTTGGGCAGTGGACTATGGAAGATAGCTGCGTGTTCGACCATTGTGTGACCATGGCAGGGGACCTGGCATCGGAGGGCTCCGCATCAGGAGATGAGGAAAGAGAGGGAGAGGGAAGTTAGTTCAGATGCTCGGGGTTGTTGTTTCGCTAAGCAGATGAGGACAGAGGGCGGGTGTAGTGCTGGTGGGCCGACTTGCCTGACAGAGTGGGTGTGCCCACTACCGGGGTGTTGTAGAGAGTGATCCAGATCGGGCACAGATGATGAGGGTGGCGGGTGGGTTGTGGATAACTGGGGATGCAGTCATCATACTATGAGTGGATGGGATGAATAAGTGTGATTATAGTAGTTGTAGGAACCATACCTGCAACTCCCCTATGCCACCGAGTTCTAGTTCCAGATGAGCGCTTCGCGGAAGTTGTCTCTGAGAGCTAGGACTTTGCCCGTGATGTGGACTGGACGCAGGCAGAAGTCGTCCCGTTGTCGTCCAGATGCAGGAGTTCGATTCTCTGTAGCCTACATAAATTAGTGTAGTTCACCAGATGGACGAGCGCTTACCTATCCAAGATACTTGATTGGGAGTTATGTTCCGCATTAAGCTTCGCTCTAGTCGACAACGTGCTTCTTGGGGACCAATCTGCAAACTGGTATCCACGTCCGATAACCCAGACCATGAGGACTGACCATATTTCCCTTAGATACAACCAGGAGCCAGTAGCCTTGGAGGGCTTTGGATACGCAGGATCTAGTGAAGGTGGTTCAGGGAGAGGAGAGGCGGATCAGTAGGCATGGCACATCTTCGTTGCAGGAATATGGTTAGTTGTTGGAGAGGATGTCAAGTTTGAGATTGTTCATCTATATGATGCGGGGCTATATGATCGCGTGGAACCATTTCTGCGTCTGGGTTCGCACTGTCAGTGATGCGTGCCAGGAAGCAGGGAAAGTCTTACCAGGCATAGTCATTTTTCTGCACCGTCATCCATGAAGCCCGTCCAATCAAACAGCGCATTAACCTCATCACGATGAGCCTTAACACTTCTTCCCTTCTTCCTATACCACCAACAAACCACACGACTCTTCATCACAGGAATATGCACCTGCGAGGGTCAGAGCATGCTGTTATGGATATTGGGTATCCACTGATTCGGTGCATGAGTCAACACATGCCCGAACTCGGCCTTCTCGGTCCTAGTAGTGACTCACTCGTACTTTCTCTTACTTTCTCTATTCTTCATATTGATACTAGAATATTATGGAACATTATAGAATAATAATGACTCTAATCTTTCCTTAGTGTATAAACTCGTAGGTAACATTGTATTAGAAAGTTTTGATCAATCTACCAATCTGTTAGGATCATGCCAATAGGTTTGCGGCAGTAAGTGCACGTAGCGGAATGCTGCGGGATGCGTCGGGCATAGGCGAAGCTATTAGCAACGTCACCCCTGAGCCGAAGCCCTAAGATGGATACGGACGGAAGTCCGCGGAGTGGCAGAGACGAGGTAAAAGATAAGTCCAACGGACCGGAGTTCCGTGGACTGGAGAACGAGAGTTTAGACTTAGAGTCAGAGAGAGAGAGATTGGGCTGAACCAAGTTGATATTCGAACTGAGTATCTACAGTGTAATTCTAAGGCTTATATACTAGTTAGGAGTCCGATCTAGTTCCTACTCGGAGTGGTCTACATTCTAGGGTTGTCGGAGGATGTATTCTACCGGTCGGTAGCCGATGGGGTCCGATGACATGTTCGCTACCGATGTCGGGCTATTGATAAATTGTAATGGAGAAGTGAAATATAAAATGGAATATGAAATGGAATATGAAATAGAAACTGGGAATCGGAATCCGTAGGATTCCAGGCTGTGGTTTGTTGGATTGAGTGGAAGTGGGGTTTCCGTCGGCATGCTCGTTACAGTATCCCCCCCTTAGCGTTCTTGCCCTCAAGGATGCAGATCCCGATGGCCGGGTGTGACCGCATGGAATTTTTTCAGGTTGGTCACGTGGCTTTTCACCTCTTAGCTTTCTACCACCACCATCTCCTCTATTTTCTGAATTTCGTCCTCGTCGTTTGTCATGTCGTCAACCATCGAGTACCGTGTTTCCGTGACGCCCGAACCGTACGAGCCTGCCCCGACGCCCGAAGATATTCGGCCTGAAGACCTGGAAGCCTTTTATGACGAGCGGGACGCCGCGGAGAAGGCCAGGGAGGATGCCGCGGAGGCTCATGAGGCCTGGAAAGCACAGAAACAAAAGGAGGAAAAGAGGCGGGCTCTGGAGTTGGAACAGTGAGAGAAAAAATTGGGGCAGGAGAGGAAGGTTGCGGAGGCCAAAGCAAGGAAGGAGAGGGAGGAGCGGGAGGCCGCAGAGAAGAAACGGCGAGAGGAGGCAGAGGCTAAGGCAAGGGCAGAGGCGGCCGCCGCGGAGCAGCGGAGGTTGGAAGAGGAGGCCAGGGCCTTGGAGGAAGCTAGCAAGGCCGCGGAGGCGGAGAAGGAGAAGGAAGATGGGAATGAGGGGAGCAAGGTGGGTAGCGGGTCCGATGGAGATGACGAGCGGAGAAGGC